CATCGTCGTAACCTATACACACTTTGAGCATTACTTTTCCGTTAGGGATTTAATCTATAACATATCACAAAAGACATATTTAGACAAGACAACATAAATTTAGATTCTCCACTTTTATCCATACTGTATGATTGTAATACAGACAGCTCTTTTAATACTTTTTTATATATATATATATATATTTATTTTATTTATAATTTTCCATATCACAATATTGTCTGTCACAGAATAACAAATATATAAGTGTCAATTGGACATAAAAATATACATCTCATACAATACTTTTCAAAATATACAGCCCTATACAATATATCAATGGCTAATTACTGTTGCCAGCAAAATATGTATATATACAGGCTGGTAGTCTTACATAGACAACATCACAACATGAATTTTACCTACATTTTTTGTTAAGCCCCCCTAACAACAGAAAAAAAAAAGAAGAAGAAACAACAAGCAGTTCTTAATTTTCGGTGAAGGGCAGGCCCGAGTTAAACCACTTATTAAAGTATAGACTATTTGGAAGTCCAGGGAGACCATAGCTCGTTCAAGTTCCTAATAGGATTTAAAAAGGAATTCACTTCCATCCTGTGTTGAAACTCTATTTGTTCCAATATCTGGTGCCAAGCTGGAAGAGCATGGGATTTCCATGCCCTAGCGATATTAATTTTAATTGCAAACAAAATGTGGGTCAGGAGATATATTTGATTCTTATCAAGTGTAGGAAAATCAATATTAAACAGAAATAATTGGTGACTGATTTCTATATTTTTCTCAAATATAAGATTTAGAAGGGCCGACATTTGTGCTTTGAAATTATTAAGCTCCTTACAGGTCCACCAGATATAGTACATAGTCCCTTCTTCCTTCCCACATCTCCAACAATCTTTTGGATGAACTGGTGATAATTTATGAAGTCTAACTGGGACCAGATACCATCTATACAATCGCTTAACTCCTTAAGGACACATGTCATGATTCCCTTTTATTCCAGAAGTTTGGTCCTTAAGGGGTTAGAGTGGGTTTCAACCAAGGCTTCATTGTGAATGCATCTCTTTACCAGCAGAGTGGCTTTAGTCTATCTCCCACTTAGTAAACGATAATACATGGGGGACTTGTTCTAAAGAGTAAAATAATTTGTTAAATCTAGAGATTCCTCCCTTCTTTTGACTAATCGCCAGCAGAGGAGCAATCTGATGGTTTATAATTATCGTTTTAGATAATAAAAAGTTAATAATAAAAAAGTTCTTAATCCTAAAATATTGGAACAGATCTCTAGATGGAAGATTATATTTAGATTGTAAAAATACAAATGAAGCCGGTCTATTATCCTCACATATATCAGCAATCATTTGTATTTCTAAGTTTAACCAATAATTTATATTTAAATTGAGCATAGCATATTGAAGCACTTCTATGGGGGTATCATAAAGCAGTTTACCTTCCAGATTTAATTTCTTATTTAAAGATTTCGCGGTAGATACCATATCATCCAGAATTCTATTAGAGAATTGTACTGGTACTAAAACAGACAAATTCAGGAGGCCTAACCACACTAAAATAGATAGCTTAAGCCTAGGACTGCATTCCTGCTCAAATTTGAACCATGAATGGGGGGGCATTGAACCGGATTCAACCATAAAAGGAGGTGAGTTGCTTTACAAGAGTCATGAGTCTTAACCACATCCGGGAATGCCATACTTCCTTTCAGATAGCTTCTTCGCAAGTTCTGTAACGCTATCCTTGGTGGTTTATCCAACCAAATATAACTAGAGAACAGGCTTTGGAAGCGGTTAAGTGTTCCCTTCCCGATTCTATAAGAGATCACCCTGAAGAGGTATAGAAGTTTGGGCATCAAAAATGCTTTGGTCATATTCATTCTTCCTATCCAGTAAGATTCCAATCTCTTCCATTTTGCCACCTGAATTTGCAGTTCATTGAATAAGTTCTCAAAATTCACTTGGATTGCACTATTAATTTCAAAAGATATTGTGATCCCCAAATAATAATGTCGCTAGCCCATACCAGGTTATAGCGGGAAGAAAGAAGATCTTTCTGAGTCTTGGATAAAAGAAAAGGTAGAGTTTGAGACTTTTTCAAATTAAGTTTATAATTAGAGAAACTACCATAAATATGAATATCATCCAGTAAATATGGAATTGTGACACCATTGGATCTACCAGAGTAAGGAGGACGTCGTCCGCAAACAGAGATATCTTAACATTTCCTTCCTACAACTGTACCCCCTTTATGTTATTATTCTGTCTAATCATGGAAGCTAAGGGCTCAGTTGTGAAAACAAATAGGAGGGGGGCCAAAGGGCATCCCTGCCTCGTACCATTTTTTATTTCAAAAGGGTCAGATTCAAAATAAGAATTGCTTATTTTTTCTGAGGAATCCCTATATAATGACATGGTTTTGTTCCTATATTGACCCTCTAGGCCGAACCGGCCCAAGACAGAGTCAAGAAAACTCCAACTGACCCTGTCGAAGGCCTTCTTGGCGTTGAGGGCCATAATAACTGATTCCATTTGCTTCTCCTTCAATCTGTGTATCAAATTAAATATCCTGCGTGTATTATCGGTAGAACTTCTTCCCTTCACAAAACCGGACTGGTCTAAGTCAATCAAGTCTCCTATGACCCCTTTAAGTTGATTAGAAAGGATACTAGAAAATGTTTTAATGTCTATACTAATTAGAGATATCAGTTTATAATTAGTGATAAGTGTAGGTTCTCTATCGACCTTGGGGATTGGAATAATTGAAACCAACATCGTCTCTTTTGGAAAAGGAGACTCTATCGAGATATTATTGAACATCTCTAAAAGAATAGAGGTGATATTCTTAGAGAAAGTTTTATAAAATATAGCAGAAAAGCCATCCGGGCCAGGTGCCTTATTTGGTTTTAGATTATCTATTACATCTATTTTTTTCTGATAATAAGAAAGGAGCGTTTAGGCTTTCCAGTTTCTCTGTATTAATTCTTGGGAGGTTAATTTTCTCTAGAAAATTATCTATCTCGCTCTTGTTAACTCCTCCTACATCTAAGTTATATAAAGAACTATAGAAATCAAAAAAGGCCCTAGCAATATCATTGGGTGATGTTAAATGGGTATCCCCCAGAATAATTATTTTAATAGATTTATCTTTCAGGTTATTCTTTAATTTGTTTGACAGATCCCTATTAATTTTATTGTTATTATGATACCATCTTTGTTTGAGGAAGACAATATTTTTATTGATCAGCTCAAATGTTTTTTCTTTAATAGATGTCTTTATCTTAGTTATTTCTTCCGTTAGTTTCTTGGTTACACATATTTTATTTAGATGTTCTTTTTTAGCCAAGTTTATCCTCACTTCTTGTAGAGATTCTCCTTTCTTACGTTTAAGTTCTGTGCCATATTTAATTAATAAGCCTCTTACAAAGCTTTTCAACGCACACTAGACCATAGGTGTTGAAACTTCTCCGTTATTATTGATATTTATACAATTCTCAATTTCAGAGATCAGGAAATCCCTATTATGTTGTACTTTCAATAGGTTTTCATTAAGTCTCCACCGTGACCTACGTCTAAAACTATTTTTTATTTTAATTTGTACAAATACTAGTGCATGATCGGAAATTGCCATGGAGCCAATGGTAGCTTTCATAATTAAACCTAGAGAACCAGCTTTAACAAAAAACACATCGATACGTGAGTAGGTCTGGTGCACCTGAGAGAAAAATGTATAATCTCTCTCACAGGGGTTCAAAACCCTCCAACAATCGGATAAAGAATTCCTAACCAAGAATTCTGATAAATCAGATCTATAGACACCTGACTCATTAGCATCCCGTGTATGTTTATGATATTGAAATAAAATCTCAAGTTAGCAAGTAGGATGATCAACAAATTTTTTTAACTAGATTTATAACATGACAACAACTTTATCCGTTCAAAGTCACCACTTACCATGTTGGGATTCATTCACTAAACATAACATAGCAAAGTGCTGATTTGGAAAAATTCTCCATACTCTAGTATAGTTATAGCTAAATATCACAATTCACGGATATGCTGTCTCAATATATATCCAATAAAATACTATACTAGTAAAACCTGAATGAAAATAATAATTAACATTTCTTCCACCAAGATCTTAAAGGACCATTCCACACCCCAAAAGCACTTCAGCTTGCTGAAGTGCTTTACAGGTGAGGAGTAGTCTAGTTTAAGTCCAGTTTATAAAAGTGCTGATTTCTACAAGAAATCAGCACTTTTATAAATTTGCTAGGGAACAACCCCTGGCTGTCAATCAAACAGCCAGGGATAATTAAAAAAAAAAAGTAAAAAGAGTAAGCCAAAATCTTAAGTGAGGAGAGGGCTCCCTGGATAAAGCAATGCTGTGATCTCTGTTGTGGAGACAAATGTAACTAAAACTTAAATTATAAGCAAAATGGCTATATACATAAATTCCTTAGCCTTGTAAGGCTATTACTATATTAGCTTAGACAGGTCTACCACACAGTATACATGACTGGTTTAATTGTTGGTAAAAAAAAAAAATGAGGTCCAGTGTAAGGTAGATTCTGTATGTATATTAGTCAGATTTAAGCAAAGATCATCACAGTATGTGTATCAAAATTATATACAAAAAGGGGGGTGGCTAACCACCGGACCAAATGGATGCATAATCCCTAGCTCCGGCACCCAGACTCCGAATCCATCCCCATCCTAGCACACAGAACACTGACAAACGGTGCACCCTGAAGATGTCACAACACAAGACCAAGAAGAACGCTGCCAATGCAGAAAAATGCAATTTCTTTAATCAGAAGGTGCAATTAGCCGCAATTGGCCTACAAACGCCTATCCAAGATGACGCTGAGGGTGCTGACTATAATGATCTCTCACCTACACCCTACTGCAGGGAAGAGGCACTCTCCCCAAGCTACTTCACGCAGGCTCTGGATGCCCTGTCCCACAAGCTCATCACCACCTGACAACACTCCATGGACTATGCGCAAGGATGTCCAAGAACTGGGCCACCGCACGACGCACGTGGAATCCAAGATGGATGAATTTGCATCGGCGCACAATGATCTAGCCGATCATTTAGAGAGCCTGGCGGACAAACTAGCGCTCATAGAACAAAAGCTAGCTGACCTCAAAGATCGAGCGTGGCAAAATAACCTCAGACTGAGAGGGGTGCCGGTATCTATAGTGTCAGCGGACTTACCTGCATACGTATGGGGCCTGCTTCATGCATATGCTCCTGAGGTTCCTGCTGACATGCTGCTGGTGCACCTCTTTGCGGATCTTTCCGCTGCTACACTTCGCAGGAGAAGAGATTTTGCACCTATTACGGAGGCCCTAAGGGCAAATTGAATAAGATACAGGTGGGGTTTCCCCACGAAACCCCTGGCAATGAAAGACAGCGGTCTCAAACTAATTATGTCCCCAGAGCAAGGCGTGATAAAGCTACAAGCCTGGGGCATAGCTCCTCACCATGACAACAAAGAAAGTTCACCTGCGCCGAGACTCCGGCTCGAGCGGTCGGCAGCACCTACAAGCTGCTAAAGCACGTTGACCCAGGGGACGATGCTGCAAGTACCTTGAGCCTTAGGGCTCACCGCTCCACACCACACCACTTCAGGCCCCCCTGCTCACACACATACCGCAGGGGTCGCCTTACACATATAGCCATCCCTTACTGCTGAGGGCAACATGAGTTTGCCTATTTGGGCCCGGGGGGACGAAATTCTGGGGAGCCTGGGTCGGGGAGTGCCTTGGCCCTCCCTTCCCCTTCGCTGGGGAGGGGGGGGCGCCGGGCCCTGGCAGGTCACAATGACGGACCTTGGGGGTGGTCAGTGGGGCAAGCTGGGAGATGGCCCCCGGAAATGGCATGACAAGCAGGGCATCTCACCAAGCAGGTGATGCTGCCTGATGCTGGCTTACAGCAGGGAATACCACAGGCAACCCTCGGCTGCCCATGATGATTCCACCAGATCAGCCACTGGGACTCAGTTTATTGGGGACTGTATGTACAACTGTTCATGTCTGATGGAATGGGAGGATATGGCTTGTGAAGTGCTCATGGTTAGAGGTCTTTATGCTTTTAGGGGATCATGTTATTATATGAACACGCTTGCTCTCCCAGCACCACACGCATTAACCTTAGGCGAGTGGGCTCCCCATGTGCGCAGGGCCGGGGGTGGGCACCTTGGGCCCCTGCTCCCTCCTGCAGATGGAGGGGGGGGCTAATGAGGCCCATGTCCCGGCAAAGAGGGTGGGATGGGGAGGGCCTTGGACAGAAGCGGACAACTGGAGGGCGGTGCTGACCCCTGGGTGCGCAACCATTATTACCTTAGGATATAACAAAATGTTCTGTTAACAGGCGCTTAAAACAAATTTCAACAAGTGCTCTTTAATACAGCAGCTCTCACACAAAAAATAGGAACTCTCCAATCCTATTGTGATCAAATGTGAAAAACACACTATTTACATAACCAGTATGCAGTAGTGAGAGTGTGTAGCGCTAGATAGTATTCACTTACTCCCCAGAATTCTTTAGGGGTATAGGAGATATTCGGGTATCTATGGAATAAATAGAGAGATATATAGTGTACTCTGTAATAAAAGACGTAGTTGTACACCATATAATAGGAAGCACTCACGTGGTTCAGAGCCTATTGGGGATTGGCTCTAATCACTCTCGCTTTGTGTCCTTAAGGTGACACACACCTTTGAATCCAAATGAGATGTAATCCTCAAAAATAAAAAGAGAGAGAACAGGGAAAACTCGCCCTGGTGTTGAAATCCTTATGATGACAATACATAAACATGCATATAAAAGTGAAGATTGCTTCTCACCTGGGTGAGTGCCTGTAACCTGGCTCTGAGTAAATGGGCATATGAGTCCTTTTGGGATGACTCCTTCCCTCTTTGGCAGGATAGAAGATGCACCAAATATATGTATTCAAAATAAAAATTAATATTTATTACATACACTTTTAAAATCAATATGATACATACAGTATATAGGTGAGTCCAAAGCGCGTTTCACCGATTCCATTCGGCTTTCTCAATTGGTCGCTTCCATCCTGTTCTGTTCCGATTTTAATCCCCGCCTTTCGTCCTGATTGGTGGCAAAAGATCGAAAACCAACCAATCACAGACGTCCCTTTGAGGGAGGGCATGGTGTTCCAGCTGTAATGCTTTATCCCTTAACGGTGGCGTCATCACGCACGTACATACGGTCGTGCGGGTGACGTCACTTCCGGGAATATGAGAGGGTAGTATTCACTCCATTAGTTCTTTATATCTGGTCTCACTTCTTTCGGTTCAGCTGACATCACTTCCCATTTTCAAAGATTGTATAAGGATCCTAGCCTAGTACCACACTGTAAAGCGCTAACCGAATTGCTCCTTGAATATGACCTATATGACGCCTGGCAGATCAGACACCCAAATGATTGAGAATATACGTACTTCTCCAGAGTGCACAAAACGCGCTCAAAGATAGATTACATCCTTGTTGCTGGGAACCTTTTCCCTCTCTGACAGATTGCCACATCGGGGACATAGTCTGGACCGATCATGCCCCAGTCACCCTCACACTGTAGTGTGGCAGGCCCATAAGGCAGTTATGAGAGTCTTAGCAATCAGCCAAGCCACTTTTCTGAAGCGCGCCTCACAACAGGAATACAACACGCTCCTGAAAATGCTCGGGACCAAACCAGCGCACAGCTAATTCAACCAACGGAGGCGGGTCAGCTTGAGATAGCCCAAACCAACAAAAAACGAAATAGCTTCCTTCTTGCCAAAACCACGTACACCCTGCAACAACTACGCACCTACAGCCAAGGTAACAGAGCGGGCAAGGCTTTGGCCTCCCTGTTGCACTACAAACAAAGCCAATCCAAAATCCCATACTTAATTTTACCGGATGGCACCAAAGTGTTTAACCCGCAGGAGATGAACAACACCATGGCAAAATATTACATAACACTATACAACTTACGAAACGACCCAAGCACACATTAACCAACGGACCTTGAAATACAAACCTTCCTCTCGCGAACCACACTTCCCTTACTATGCAACAACGAGGCTCCCTAGAAGCCCCAATCTCCCTACAAGCCCCAGGGTGTCCCCCCTGCTCTACATTCTGGCTTTGGAACCCCTGGCAAATCTCATATGCACGAACCTACACAAGGGTCAAGGTGGGAGAAACTGACTATAAACTTACGATGTTTGCGGACAACATTCCGTTGTCCTTCACAGACCCAGGGGTGTCCATACCACAATTTAGCAACCTCCTGCAGACCTATAGTGCCTGTTCATATTACAAGCTAAACATAACCAAAACATAAGCAATGCACCTAAATTTGCCCAACACATTGTTGTGCGGGCTGAAAGCCGAATATGCATACCAGTGGGACAATAATAGCCTCACCTTTCTAGGTGTAGAGTTCCCGGCCAAAACCCAGACCTTATTCCAAGGCCAACTATATCAAACATCAACTGCTGTCCTTGATGGGCCGCATAGCGGCCGTAAAAATTATCCTCCTTCCTAAGCTGCAATATTTGTTCCGCACGTTGCCTATCAAACTTCCACCACCATATCTGAAAAGCATGCAAAAAATGCTCAATGACTATATCTGGGACTACAAACGACCCAGTGTTGCGGCCAAGGTGCTTTACAGATCTTTCAGAGGAGGTGGACTGGGTGTTCCCAACCTTACTAGGTACTACAAAACATCCCAACTAAACCCACTGATCATGGCCCATCATCACAAAGTCCAACCGGCCTGGCTACACATAGCAGCCACGTATACGGCGGGACAGGACCTTACTACCTTAGTGTGGCTCCCACAACATCTCAAATCGCGACACAAACACATGTTACCTACCACATCTCTAACCCTATCGATGTGGGATGCGCACCATGCTGCACCCCACACGAAAGACTCCGTTTCCCTAGTAATGCCACTGACCACTGTCGCGACCCTTCTACCCAACTTTCTGTGGTGTGGTTTAGTCCATGCATGGAATCACTCACCTTCACCAACTGATACACGCTCAAAGCATACACACATTTGCAAATCTCCAAACCCTATATGGTCTACCAGATGCAGCTTTTTTTCCCTACCTACAGATACGATCCTGGCTTAAATGACAGGTGGCTCAAAGGGATGACCTTGTAAATGGGCACCAGATGTCAGACTTGGGGAAACGTTTACACTCAACAGACAACCCCCACCAAAATAATTTCCTCATTATACGAAGTTGCCACACAGAGACAGGCCACTGAACACCCCCCTTTGTTAAAGCCTGGGAGACAGACTTACAAAAAAACACTGGATGACACACAGCGATCCCAAATTTTCTTGGCAAATAAAAAATTAACATTATGCATAGCACACATTGAATTGACTAGGAAAATCCTCTATCGATGGTATCTGGTGCCCACAAAACTGAAACACATGAAGCCGGGAGTTTCGGATCTCTGCTGGAGATGCGGATCGGCGCCTGGAACCATGTACCACATGTGGTGGTCTTGCCTTAAGCTCACACCATTCTGGGGTGGGGTTGCGGTGCTGAGCCTGACCTCCGTGCGAGTGGACTTACCAATGAACCCAGAAATATACCTATTGCAGCTTCTCCCCACAATTGCAGCTTCTCCCCACAGATATACCCAAACATAAACAATACCTGACCTGTCACATTCTCATAGCAGCCCTATCCACGATAAGCAAGGCCTAGCTCATCGAGCACCTGGCTCTATGAAATCATGGCCAAAAGAACCAATCCGCCCAAACGATTCTGGAAGGAGGCTTGGGATCTCTGGGACTCCCAGCACTACCCTCCTAGGGGAACCACACCCTGCCCTGGGGTCGCAGCCACTGCAGCCCATCATGGCAACATGTCCAGACCAGATGATTGAATCTACCCACATGCTAGGTATATTTCCTCTCTCTCTGGCAAGCTAGGGATGATGCCATGGGAGTAACTAAATACCTTAGTGCAGCTACGGCACAACAGGCTGTGAGGGAGCGGCTGCGAGGGTCTTGGGAATCAAAAATCTGACCCAGCCAATTATGGGCCTTATGAGTGCACTTTGTAGCCTAACCCAAATGCCCACACACACCCCCACAATATACTATACTATAATACACTATGGCACTTGGAGACCCCTCCCCCTTGCCCCGTTTGCCCAATCTCATTTCCCTGGTTCTTGTTTTGGTTTTAAAATACAAAACAGATGTACTTAAGCTGATACATTGACTTGAGCCCACTCCTGTAGGGGGTAATGTCACAGCGTTATGCACATATACCTGTATGTTATCTCTTTGACTGAAACTCGCATTGTGCCCAAATTCCAT